GGGGGGGGGGGGGGGGGGGGGTCGATGGCGTGACGCCGTTCACGCTTAATTGGGCGATGGATCCGGCGAGCGTGATTTGGGGAACCTCGTGAAAGAGATACTTTGACATTTTGGGTTGGAGTCTGCAGTTAGATCTGGTCGTTGTGCGCGGTTGTCGTGTTGTTGCCGTGGAGAGTGAGGCCTCGCGGCGACTCCCTCCTGAACACCAAACACCGTTTCTGTCCATTGTTAAACTGCCTTGTTAAAAATAATTGCGGCTCAGCGAGGTCATGAGAGCAAAGCTGTGGAGCTCATTGTTTTGGATTCACCTGTTTTTCTTCAACTGAAAACGGGAATTTTCTTATTCTCAGTATTTAGTTAAAAAAAACAACAACAAACACAATTGGATTCCTGAATGTTTTAGATGATGTCATTCTCGGTGGTAGATGTTTGTATTGTGAGGTGTGTGTGTGTGTGTGTGTGTGTGGGAGAGACAAACCTGATTCATAAGTGGTGGCGTGCGCCGTCATACTCCAGGTGCTGGACTTGCGCCCTTTGGTTACCATGACAGCAAACTCATACATGGTGTTGGGTTTGAGGCCGGTGACGGTGTGACTGAGAGCTGTGGTGTCTGCAGACTGAAACATGACAGAGGTAGAAGATTTTAATTTTCTTTTTTTTTTATAAAAAAAAATAAAATAAAAAAATAATAAAAAAATAAATAAAATAAAAATAAAATAAAATAAGGAAAATGAGAATAAAAAATAAAAATAAAATAAATAATAAAATAATAAATAAATAAAATAAAAATAAAAGAAATAATAAAATGGTAAATAAATAAAATAAAAATAATTAAAATAAATAAATAAAAACAACGTTTTCATTTTCTAAAGTGACAATTTTTGTAAAGTGCACTTAAGCGGAGGGACTTTACATCCAGCCATACAGTCAGAAGATTCAGGTCAGACATAACAGCACAATAAAATTGCTGAGTTTCAGAAATTTTCTGCCTATTCGCTTATTGTTGTGATTCTTTACTTGTGTTGTAAGTGTCTACTTTATATTTTCCATGTCAGAGAGTAGGGGAAGGGGATCAGAGTCATTTTCCTCTTAAGAATTCTGTTTTGAAACATAACTAAATTGTAAGTGTTAGTTTCCCCAGGATCCCATAAATAACATGTCAGGATCATGGTGGAATTCTAATCAGAACAATAAAAGTGAGGACTTCAGATTAACAAATGCAAAACAGTAAAATTTCAGTGGTTTCAGTGTGTCAGCAAGTAATAATAAAAAATAATTATGTGTAATTGAGAGCTTCATTTTAAACATCCCAATGGGAACATTGGTCTACATCAGAAACCTGATCCAACTGTTGACTGAATACATACAGACTGAATTAGACTGGATTGGAAGTGACACAATTTGATGCATAAAATGACATTTATGAAGATACAAATTAGTCCAAGAAATAAAAAAATCAGCCCTGAGATCAGCTCCATATTCTCTAGTATGTTTGATAGTAAATAAGAATAAAGAATGAAGCCAAGAATGTCAATGCAAGATTTTTTTTAAAGATTTAGATAACTTTTCATCTCAGTTAAAGCAAATAGGAACTAAAACAGATTGAAAATGACAAAAAAACTGTGACATGACCTTGTCTCCTGTCTGGAGACTACTTTATCCTTTGAATGAATGTGCATAAATCCTAAATAAACCACGTGAAAATGTACATCCCTTTACAGACAAATTAAAGGTGAGCCAGGATTAAAATGCAGCCGGACCAACATAAGTCCATGACAAATCGAGTATGAAAATGATGAGTGGCCCGCATTTGCTAGTAATCAACAGCTCTGAGTCATGGTGCCGCAGTGAGGACAGTTACTGTTCTCAGGACTATTTATCAACTAAATTATAAAGCGGAGGATAGAAAACTCATAAACTCCAAACGCTGAGATGTACAATAACACAGAAAGCGCTAAAGAAACCCTTTGTCCAGACTGTACCATTATTAAGTGTCAAAGCGTATGGATTCTAACTTATAAACAAATATATTACAGGTCAAGCCACAAATGGAAAATTTACACAAATATTGGACCATGCACTACTCTGCAATAACAATTACATCACTCTAGATGTACATTTTAACCTTAGGTTGAGGTAAGGCACCTTTTTTTTAACCTTTTTTACCTTTATTATGTATCTTATTTATTTATTTATTTTTACATTAAAATCACATATACATGCTTTTTATGTACAGCACTTTGGCAACCTTGGTTATTTTAAATGTGCTATATAAATAAAGTTGACTTGACTTGACTTGACTAAATAATGCAATCTGATCATTTATTAGAATCATTCTCAAAAAATGAAAATGCAATGTTTTATTTACATTGAAATAATATAAAATTCACCTTTCCCCTAACCCAGCTAAGTAAGCTTTCATTGCTTCTCAATATAAGATAATTTCACGACAATTAATAACCTAGTGTAAGGCTATGCTACACAAATATGGCATACCTTATACTTTCCACTGGTAGAGAAGCTGGTCTTCCACTTGACGGAGTAGTACCGGACCTCGGATGATTTCTGGTTCTTGGTCATGGAGTTGTCTGCCCAGGAAACCCGGACGGAGTCGGAGGACAGAGCAACGGCCTGGACCCCGACTGGGGGGATCATGGGAGTGCTGGTGTCTGGCATGGGAGTGGGGTATTTATCAAAGAGATGAAAAAGGTCATCCTCTAATGGGTCTATGGGGTCTGGAGGGGGGGCCAGGGTGTTGGATAATATTCAAAGGAAATCAATGTAATGAATGTGCCAATCGTGACAGTTTAAAGGTGGACGCATGAGCAGAATACATCCAGATTCAACAAAGGAGGAGGAAATCAAATCGATAAGATGACATGCAAGTTTGGAAGAGGCGTGCAGTGGAGAAGAGGCGAAGAAGAGGAGGAGTGAATGGATGAGGAAGCAGGAAACGGGAGAGAGAAGAAAAAAGACAAAGATTAAGAAGACTGTGAAGCAAAGGGCATCACTCTACACAGGAAGTGGAGCCACAGATCCCCTAAAGAACAGATCTGAATATGTGTTTTCATCATTAAATACTTATCCAAACTGTAACATTACAACAATAATCGATAATAAACTCAATGATGAACAAATGACAGATAAAAAACAAGTGACTTGAGTTGAGTGGGTCAGTGGCTCCAGCCATTCAAAGCATGCATGCAACCTTCAGGTGCTTTCTGAAATTTGACAAATATTAAAAAGTTGTTTTTCTTTTTTTTTTTTAATGAACACACCGTGTGACGAATTGTTCTGAATTTTTCATTGAAATTCATGTGCACATAATATATCTCCAAAAAGGTGTAAAAAGAAAAACAAATCTGGGACGGAGGGAACACCTGAAGGCAGCACGATGTGTAAAAGACTTAAAAACTAACACAGGGCAAGAATGAGCAGAGGTATTTAAACTAAAACAACGCACTCTGCCCATTCTAGATCTGTGATCGCTAACAGTCAAATCTACAGAGGGCAGAAACACACTTTGTTATTTAGAAAGTTTGAAACAACACACATTCAAATTTACATCGGACATTTAGGTTTTCTGGTTCACTACAACAGAAAAGTTATTTTTAGTTCTGTGCAAAACAGCCTGCAAGGCAAGAAGAGCATTAGGAGGGCATTAATAATAATACATGTAGGATGTATTTATAATGTTTAACACTCCTTTGCATATTTTACAGAGATTACATAGAGACAAGTGTGGACTATGTATAAGAAAACCGACTATATCTGTTAGTAAGGACAACAAAATATGCAGAAAAAAGACCAAAGAAATTAAATATACTTCAAATAGACAAAAACATTGGAGTATTCTGACCTGTGTAGTGGCTTATTGGGAAAAACAAAAAGCTTAATATGATTTTTGCTGTAATGATGTTCTGTTTATACACATTAAATACGAATAAAAACCTGACAAAATCCACTTGCAGTTCCTGTGTAATGAAACAATGAAAATAGAACTAGAGGCGCAAAAGGCAATTTGCTCCTTTAGTTTTATTTTCACAGTTTCATTTGACAAATTTGGCCAGTTTTGGCCAATTTTGGCAGAAAAAAAGCATTCATTTTGAGATTCAACCATTGAGATCAAAGTTTTGACAGTTAGGTATCGGCTCTTTTGTTTCTTTTTTTTCAGCTGATGTGATCTAAACCCGACGTGATTCAAAGATTTGGAACACATCGTTGCCTTTGCTTTCACCCCCCCCCCCAACCCGTTTTGCTCCCTCTCCAACACAAACAGGACCACAGAGAAAATCAACAGTGACATCGAATGTGGTGTGGTTGAAGAGGAATGTTCGGCTTGCGGGCTAACGCAGAGTGAGACCGACTGGAGACGGGGACGGAGGCAGAGGGAGATTGATGAGGGAGGTGTTCGGGGGGGGGGGGGGGGGGGGGGGGCGAGCAGCAGCATCAGTGTGCTGGTTAAACTGGTCGCCCGGCATCCCAATAAACCTCCAATTGGGGGCTGAATACTGATGAAGGTGCAGAAAAAACGCCTCTCATCGCCCAATATAACCCCCCTCCTGCCTCCTCACTTTCAATCCTCCTTTTCCACATTTGATGACATTCCCTGTTTCATCACCTCTGCCCTGTAATTGTTCCATTCTTCCTCTTCCCTAATCCTCCATCTAATTTCCTTGAGCCTTTCCTCTTCCTTGTTTAACTGTCGAGTCGTGTCTGTTTTTCTTCATCCTGGCTTTTCTCTTTAACTTCCTGTCCATCTCTCTTTCCCCATCCTTCTGGTTTCCTGAAATTCTCCCTCCCCTCGTCTGGTTCTTTCGTTCTTCGGAGTCTCTGCGGTCCTCCGGTGGTTGATTAAACGGTGTGTGGGGGGCTGGGTTTGGCCTCTGCGGTGTATGGGGGACCAGGCGGTATTTTAACAAGGATTCCGGCTGTTAACGAGCCGTTTTTAAGGTTCTCGTAAAGAAAAAGCTCTTCTCCTGCCTCGAGAAGACAGACGGTGTGTGCGAGCGAGGATGCGTTTGTGCGTAGGTGTGTGTGTGTGTGTGTGTGTGTGTGTGTGTGTGTCACTGCTGACGACCTTGTCATAACGGTAATGGGTTTTAGTTTCTGTCTTAGCCCTCAGGGTCTCAGCTTATCAACTCTTACTGTCATACTACAACGAAATGATAGGCTGAGGATCTTTAAGGAAACAGATGTGTCTGTGGGTCTTTCAAGAACTCCAGATGTGTCTGTGGGTCTTTCAAGAACTCCAGATGTGTCTGTGGGTCTTTCAAGAACTCCAGATGTGTCTGTGGGTCTTTCAAGAACTCCAGATGTGTCTGTGGGTCTTTCAAGAACTCCAGATGTGTCTGTGGGTCTTTCAAGAACTCCAGATGTGTCTGTGGGTCTTTCAAGAACTCCTGATGTCTCTATGGGTCTTCCCGGAACTCCTGATGTGTCTGTGGGTCTTTCAAGGACTCCTGATGTGTCTGTGGGTCTTTCAAGAACTCCAGATGTGTCTGTGGGTCTTTCCAGAACTCCTGATGTGTCTGTGGGTCTTTCCAGAACTCCTGATGTGTCTGTGTGTCTTTCCAGAACTCCAGATGTGTCTGTGGGTCTTTCCAGAACTCCAGATGTGTCTGTGGGTCTTTCAAGAACTCCAGATGTGTCTGTGGGTCTTTCCAGAACTCAAGATGTGTCTATGAGTCTTCCCAGAACTCCAGATGTGTCTGTGGGTCTTTCAAGAACTCTAGATGCGTCTGTGGGTCTTTCCAGAACTCCAGATGTGTCTGTGGGTCTTTCCAGAACTCCTGATGTGTGTGTGTGTGTAAGATGAACTCTATAGGGTTCAGATAGGTTTGCATAGCCCTCTGAAAAATGGAGATTTGGCTACTCATGCTCAGAGATCTTCATCTTTCTGAAGACCTAGAGCTTCAAATTTCTCTGTTTCCCCAAAAGGACTCCATAAATTAAAAACAAGAATAAAAAAAACATCAGTCTACATTTAAATATGCCCCCCTCGTGGTGAGATTACATCAGGGCATTGATATCCTTTGCCGGCTCTTCCCAGGACCAGGTTGGAAGGTAATATGGGTCTCGCGGGTCATTAATTAACTTTTATTAAAGAACCACCAGCAAAAAGTTACAACAGAAGCTGAAATTGTTGAAAAAGGTGGTTGAATCTAGCTTTAAATGATTTATACTTATTAATGCCAGTGATCATTTATTAAATGACATGTAAGAAATGTAAATTACCAGTGATTTAAATGTATTATTATTATGACTTGGGGTTCAATACAGCTAAAAATCCAGATCTAAAATGGTTCAATTCTTGGTACAGGACTCCAGATGATCACGACTCTTCTCGTTCTCGTTTTCAATCTTAGGACACAGCCTTTTATTGTGTCTGGACACATTTTCCACCATTTCCGATGTCCTTTTTCGTCCCCTTTCTCACACTGCCTTCACTTATTTCTATTTAGTCTTCCCCTACTCTTCCTATGACTTTTGGTCTTTTTAGATCCACATCTGATCTTCGTTTTCAAACTATCGTTTTTCATCATCCGTCTGTAAAAATACTCAAAATCTCAGTAAAATGTGCCAAGTATGACTTAAAAAAGAACAGAAAAAAACTCATTTCAAGCTTGGGGAAACCGTACAGTAAAAAGCTGTGGTGGGCTGACATTTTCTAAGCTGGTGGTTGTTTTGGATCTGCTGCTGGGGACCATCTCATCGTCACAACATGAGGGCTGAAAAACCTCCCAAACTTCTTTTTTTGGAGAATTATGAAGGATTTATGGCGGCTGCAGGCTGCCTGGTGAGCAAATAGGGGCTAGCTATTTAATTCATGAGATGAAACTTGACTGAATGTTGGATATGTTCCATTTAAATTCACTTCTACCACTGACTGTCAGCCCATAGCCAATAAACCAAATAAACCTCTTCTTTTACCACAAGCACACACTCAGATATGGTAAAGACATGGGAGTAAGCCATGACTTAATGCAGTACAGAAGATTATACTGCATAATCAATTCTAACTCCACTTAGTACAGATAACACATAGGTGAGTTGGGAATGGAGTGCACATATGAAATGTATTAAATAAATAATACATGTTAATTTATCAGTCCAGCAGATAGACTGAAGCCCGATTGGCTGTTCACTATTCACTATACTATCATTTTTCTTTTTCTTGCATGGATGGAGCCTGTCTGCACCATCAAAATGAGAGGAAATAGTTGATATTGCCTTACCAAAAAATAAAAATTTTTATAAAAAACCTGCTAATTATAAGAAAAAAAAAATACATATAGTTTTTTTTTAAGTTTTTCTTTTTGCTGGTGTCTTGCATAGTTGTCAGCTACTGTTCATGGTCAGTAAATACACTTCTAAACTCCTTTGGGGGGCCTACAGCTCAAGAAGAAGAGCAGCTGGCTCGTAATTGGACGGAGCTTCCCCGGGTCACATGTCTGAGTGTCTGTGCAGGACTCTGAACCCCATGCAGCTTCCTAATGCCTCCATTAGTGTCTGAATATGCAGGATAAGATGAAAGCGAGCTGCAGCGGGCAGAAATATTGTCCAGATGTGCTTTCGGGGTGTACAGTGAATGTGGCGTGTTGCGTAAACACACTTTTAGTGGTCAAACGGACTAGACGAGCACTATTTAAGTACGGTCCATTTGGTCTAGTGCCCATGCGAAGGGTGTGATTCTCTTGGAGTTTCCTGTCATCTTTTTGGCAGTGGGCACAGAAAAGAGTCATCTTTGCTTTGGAACATTTCTCTACATCCTACTGGAATCAGTACCGCTTTTGCCTCCTCTTTTGCACATGCAGCTCCATGGTAATGTTGCTCCAACGTCCAGCCAGTCTCATTTTGGAGGTCTTAGAGCAACTAATCAACTTTACCACCAATCCCAGCGTCAGCAGAATTGCATTAGGAGTCCAAGCCATCCATGTTCTTAGTTTTAGAATAGCTGATTGTACAAATCCTGACTTGCTGTGTTCATAATAAAAACCTGCAACTCCTAGTCTTGTTACAAAGATTACTCTTCACATTACCTATCACTTTAGAAAATTAAGACACTGCTATAAATAGGGATGGGGATCGAAACCCGGTTCTATCAAGGACCCGGTTCCACTTTTTTCAAAACCCGAAAATCAATAACGTTGGGGCTTATCGATACCACTATCGAGTCTGGTCGTTTTTTTTATTATTACAATAGTAATTGTGAAATCCGTGTTGTAATCGGCAGCATACAGGCTAGTTATCTTGAAAAGTGAATAAAGTTTCAGACGTGCTGCGTGATGATGTGTTCAGATTGGCTGAGTAAAACGACAATTAGGTTATCGTGATGCGTTCAAGTGTAACGTAAAGAAAAGGGAAATTGAGTTTTTGGCGAGAAACATGAGTAATACGGTTGTGTATTGCTCTAATTATTTTAGAATATATAATTAAACTACTGATGCCAACATTTATTAAAAATTACATTTAATTTAAAATACAATTATTTATTTGCTAAATATTGTCGCATCGTCTTTCCACCAAATAACAGAAAAGTATCGATAGTGGTATCGATAAGGAGTATCGATAAAGGTATCGATATCAATAAATATTAACGATCCCCATCCCTAGCTATAAATGAGTGGCTCTCTTACTGTTGTTTTAGTGTTCATCTATTCCTAATATTCCTAAGATGTAAACAAATGATCATGATACCTGATTTGGCTGCAAAAGGAACTAAGTTCTAAAGCCCCTAGCCGGTTTGGTTTTGAATTTACAAAGCAAACACATCAGGAAAAGTCACAAAACGGTACAGACGGATTATTGGGTTGCAATTGGCTGCTTGTGCGCGCTCCTACCTGTCAGAGATCGAGTGACGGCGCTCTCGTACAGGGGCACCCCCTCCCCGGCGTTGTTGAACGCCTTGAGGGAAATCACATAGTGCGAGCTGGGCTCTGAGGGAAGAGAGAAAAAAAACAGTAACAGTCATTTGAAATGACATTCAGCACACAGAACATTAACATTCTAAGATGTGACTCATCGTTAAGCATTATAAATGTGAGCGGGGAGAGATTGAAAGGTCAAGGCCACTTTGCCAGAGCTGATTTGACACCAACAGCCTTTTCGAGCCCAATCGCAACTTCTTTTTTATTTTGTAAATCGACAACAATATAGAGTCCCTAGAGTCTTGAGGATGTGCGATTTTTTTCGTCACTCCTTACCTGATTTGAACTCACAATCAAGGAGGTCCTCGACCT